TATATCGAAATATCGGAAATGTGTTTAAAAATCATATCACCGTTATTGAAAAAAATTATATCGCGATACATATTGATATTGAATTATTGTCCAGCCCTACTCTGGAAGATATATGAATGTCTCAGTCATGAACAAAGTGACTCTGCATTAGCCCAAGAGATGAAGGAAAAGATAACCGAGTATCTTCAGCATCGCTATGATGACCTGCAGCTGCAGCTTCTTTTGAACACTGCAACTTACCTTGATCCAAGATTTAAGAACAGCTTTGTTTCTCTTAAGGATGATGTGAAGCAAAGTCTCGTGGATGAGGTGAGGAAAATGGGAAATGATGGAAGTACCTCAGGTGCTCAGTTGTCTGGAGATTCAAGTCAAGTCAGGCCATCAAAAAAATCAAAATCTGACCTGAAGCAACTGCTTTCCACCATACAAGGGGAAAAGAAAGAAAAAGGGGAAACAACATCCTCAAGTCAAGCACATCTTTCTGCAAGTGACGAGTTAAATGGTGAGTTCTTGGTATACGGTCAGATGCCTGAGGTCAGTGCTGAGGATGATCCACTTTCCTGGTGGAAATCAAATATGGGTACACTACCTCAACTATCAGAGTTTGCCAGGAAGTATCTGTGCATTGCTGCATCAAGCTGTTCATCTGAAAGAGTGTTCAGTACTGCAGGGTATATTGTAAGCCCAAGACGCTCAAGACTGACTCAGGAACACGTTGATATGTTAGTGTTTCTTTCCCAAAATCTGGAAATGGCAAAAAAAGTCACTTACAGAAAACTGTAGGCCAGTGTAGTTTTGGGTGAAACGTTAAGCTTGGAGTAAGTGAAATTGTTTAAATTCTGTTCTTTTCAATGCTTGTAATTTATTTAGTTATTTAATTACTCAAATGTTTACAATCCTTGAAATGCCATGGTTTTGTTTTAATTTGTAATAATATTTTAGGTTATAAAGTGTTGTTCAGTCATGGCATATTTTGTTTAATTTATAAAAATGTTCAAGTTTATAAATAAGAAGAGTGTTATTCAGTCATGGCATATTGTTGTGTTTTTTAGGTTTGTAATTTTTTGTTTGTTTTTATTTTCATACTTTTATTACTTGTGGAAAAAGTAATAATTTGATAACTTGAAACAATTTTAAATAACTATAAAGAATGCCATTTATTTTTTGTACATTTTATTTTTGTTTAACTTTATTAATAAAAATAGTGCATTGTTCAATTAGCATGTTTTTGTGTTTTGCTTTGGTACCGAAATTGGTACCGAGAACTGTGGATTTTCACTGGTATTGGTACCGAATACTGAAATTTTGGTACCGTGACAACACTACATCAGATAAAAGATGAATAGTTGGTTTCTTTACGTCAATCTGATGATGTCTTCCTGTCAAAGTGGGCAGACCAGAAGAAGCCGCAATGTTAAAAGTCTGGCTACACATGAGCTTTAGACCACATGAAAGCACTGAGTTAACCTCGGTGATTCATTTCAGGAACACAAACCCTAGTCCTGACCCGTTGACCTCTGCAACCTGTTGAGTCCTCTGGCCACAGCAGACCATTCATAACTTCTGCTGACATCCTGTGGATCTGCTGTAGCTTTCTAGAGACTGTTTTATGCCACACAATGAATGGATGTGTTATTAGAGGGGCGAACAAACAGGCTTTGACACGGGCGGAGCGTCACAGGACTGCAAAGCAGCTGCCGGCAAACTATTCTGAAACCTCAGCAAACAACACGACACTATTACAGCAAAACAAATTATATTTTTATATTTTCTTTCTGCGTGTTCTGGATGAACATACACGCAAAAAAAACTGCAAACAGCCTATTGAATCAGTTTTAACGTCATCATCAGGGTCTTTTTTATATTTAAAAAAGCTGTTTTGAATAAACATTCACTGGTTTTATGAAAAGTCTCGTTTAGTCATTAAAAAGTCTAATTATTAACGCACTAGTCAAAATAAGCAGTTTATGCATTGTGTTTATTAGATAAAGAGATTTGCACAAATGCACATACAATCTAAGTGTTTGGAAAACATCCTTGACTGTGGGAAGTTTTCCGTGTGCTCTGAAAAACATGTTTCAGCCCTAATCGCCACCAAAATAAGATAAAAGCAGATTAGAGCCCACGGCGGACTAGAAAACTAAAGCTGCTCTCTTTGTCATCAAACACACAATAATCCAACAGCCGTTTTACCTTTACCATGTTTTCACATCAGAGCACATCACATAATTCCCATCAAGTAAGAAGACACAAGCGCTGTGAGCTTTCGGCAGACGCGAGGGGACCTCGTTACAATCTAGTACATTAACCAATTAGTCATTCATTTCTCAATAGAAAGGCGTAAAGCTGTAGAGTTAATAGGCCTCTTTACAGCGATGATCTCATTCTGTCCTGCTGCGTCCTCAGGACGGGTCAGCGAAGACTTTAGCCAGGTTAAGATTATAATCCACTGACTGTCATTCAATCACCTGCTGCAAACAAGCTCCACCTTCTTAAACTGTGAACTTCATTAACACTGCACTGCATGGAAGTGCTGTAGGCCTAAATATCCTGAGATAAGGCCATTATACACAGTCTGACCTGATAAAGTTGGACGGTGAATCTGCACTGAGAAGAGCTCATAAAATGATCATAGTAAGTGCCAAAAATTTCCCGAAGGTTTCAAGTGTGATCTTACACAAAACTCATCAGTCTTCGCCATTAATTCAGGCTGGTCACCGAGGTCTATTTTAAGAGTGCTGTAAATAGTGCCGCTGTCCCGAGATCAAACGCTGTGTGTATAATCCAGATATAGGCTAAGCCTTCGGCACTTACAGAGAAAAGAGTATAAGATCTCTGTAGACCACATTTTACATACTGACACTTTTTCTTAAAGTAAAATAAAATAATGTTCTTAAAAATGTACCGCTTTTTGGACTCTAAGAAAAGTTGTGTTTGCTATTAATTGCTCATGCTATTGCTGTTCTTGTTTTTAGCATTTAGACATATGAATTTTGCCTGGCAGAAACAAAAAAAAAATCTTATATCTAATTCTATATAACTATAACAAAAACACACGCAAAAAAAAACAAAAACATTTTTGTTACTTGAAATAAATAAACGTTTAACTGAAAGAAAAAAATATACAATTTCAAATTTTTGGCACCATTTCTATATATTTTTTTTGTTTAATTACTAAAAATAACAAACAAATAAAACAAGTTAAAAAAACTAATAAAAATGACAAAAACACAACAAAAGTACTAAAACTTTAACTAAAATGAAAATGTAAAATATAAAATTTAAAATGAATTTATAATATACAATATTCATAAAAACTATAATAGTATATAACAGATATTAAAATAACATTGGTGCTCTACCACCTTGGTCTAAGTTAATTCATTATTAAATATGATGAAATATATAAACTAAATTAGGGCTGTCGCGATTCGTCGATTTTATTCGACTATTCGATTTTTAAAAATCCTCGACTTCATTTTGCTCGCATCGACTAACAGGCAAAATACAGGAAGTGGCGCATTTCACATTATTAGTCTGTTTCCCAAGGCTCCATGATATATTAAACCCATTTAAAAATCGTAAGTAAGCATAATTGTGAATTCACAAACGCTACGATTTAATTAAATAATTATATGCGATGCAGTTCTACTACAGTATAGGCGCTTTAATTATTTACATGCGTGTAGTTTAAGTACATGAGTCACACAGCGGCTCCGTTCACAGTAGTTCCACAGGAACTGTTATCATTTACATGTGTGTGAAGCGTCTCAAACTCCATCTCTGCATGTTGTTGTGAGTTTGGGTTTATTATAACGTTCATCTGGGAATGCAACATGCACTATTTCATCAGATTTGTAAGGTAAATCATTTATAAATCTACGCAAACACAGGAGAATACATCGCGGTTTCAAAATAAAAGCTCAAACCCTCACTCTGAGTTTACACGTTTTGATGTCCACATATTCTTTTAATTACAATGGCCAAATATTAAAGATTAAGTGGACATTTGAATGAAATGGTGCTTGGTCAATATTAAATAAGTATTAGATCGCACAGTAATGTGTAAAAACAATCGTCAGGCCGTTGGCGCCCCCCTGCAGACCTTTGTTTGTAATGTGTAATGTACATTAGCTCTATTGTTTATAATACATTATGTATTTTAACAGTTTTGTTCAATAAAACCATATGGTTTCTTGTAGGGCTGAACGATTAATTGCATTTGCAATTATATCGCGATATGAAAAAACACGATTTTTCAATCGCAGAGGCTGCGATTACACTCGGTCACGTGACACGCGAGAGTAAAGAGGTGTGTTCAACTTGAAGATCAAATAATTTTAAAGGCTATTGTTCACTTACATCTATTTTTATTACCACAAAAAAAATGAATAATTATAGGGCACTATGAAAACAGTTTTATTTCCAAATTATTTTTTTTTTCCATTTTCATTTTTCTATACTCTGTTTTAATGGTTAAATTAAATTTTATTAATCAAAAAGCCTGTCTAATTAATTGAGTTTTACAGTTTTATCTTTACCAAATTCTGTTTTCCATAATTTTTTTGGATTCCATTTTAATGGTTCCATTAAATTTTAATAATCAAGCATCTCCAATTAATTGATTTAAAAAAATATTTTTTCTTTTTTTTTCAGAAATACTGCACATTTAAATTTTTCTCCTAAATAAATTCTGGTAAATAATATTTCTGGTAAATACTCATTTAAAAAGTGTTTTTTGATTATAATTTTATTATTAGTAGACTAGAACACGTGGATATGTTGTCATTCTTGCACTATAATACTGAACTTTGATTTCAGTGATTTGGACTATGAGATGGACACTTGCTTCTTGCACTTTATGTTGCACTTTACTTTTGGATTTCATTTGGTTTAATGAAATATAGTTTAATAAAATATTCTTAAGTAAAATTGTTGTTGTTTTTTTTGGGGCGGGAAATTAATCGTTTAGATCAATCGATTAATCAATAAATTAGTCGATAGATTAATCTAAATAAAAAGTAGTTAGTGGCAGCCCTAAACTAAATACAGTGAGATTGGTGAAATTTGAAACATCTATCTATCTATCTATCTATCAAACTTGAAGGCTTTGTAAATATATATAAAAAAACACTTCCTTCATTTCACAGATGGTGTAACTGTGAATTAACAGCCTGTCAGTAATAATACCAGCTAATTAACACCCCATAACCAGGAGCTTCCCAAAGCTTTGATAATGAGCGGATGATGAGATTTACATGAGCAGATATCTGACAAATCTGATGGGCATAAACAGGGCACACGCTGAGAGCACGTCAATCACGCCAGGACAGATTCAGCACACAGGTGAACTGAGATACTGGTGTTGTAATACGAGCCTGACTCTTAGTCAAGTGCTGCCCATTTACAGTTTTGCATTCCTCTGTTGACACACAACCCAGCGGTGTACCGTGCAAGTATCCATACTTCTTAATATTTAGACATGGAGCGCTGGGGAAACAATAGATGCAAACATGAAAAGACCCTGTTGTGCATGACATTCCTTTAATTCTATATGTTCTTATTTACTGAAAATAAATGAAATAAGCTGTATAATGTCACATGAATCACAGCAGGCTGACCTGAAACGCTTTGGTTCAGCAGGCTAGTGAAACATTTGCAGTAATGCATTAACTTCGAGGTCCAGCCCTAAAATGCAAAGACAGTGACTGTGTTCAAGTCCTGATACGCCAGCAGAGACTTGTGTGGACGTTCTTACAGCGGGTCATGTGACTAAAGAGGCTTCGCCTCATCCACCTGTCATCAGGTGACGAAATCAGCCACAGATTTCAATGCACTGAAACTTTTGACAAATGCACGATTTGCAGTGATAAAATATGGCATGCAACCAACTGGCAAGCTTGTCTTCATAACTAAACAGGTGTTTAACCTGTAGATTATTTTACCTTTAGATCATTTACCTAAAATAACCCCAACACAGGACAAGACTGTAATTAGGCCTGTCATAATAACTATAGTATACTACAATATTTGCATGAGTTTCAACAATGCCTTACAGATAAAACAAAAGGTAACACACGCATTCACAAAATCATCAGGTTCCCACACTTCTCACTAACTGATTTCTATGACTTCTCCTGTTCATGTTCATGAGTCCTCTATCCATAATATTTCCTTCTCCAGTGAAAAAGTCGTCTGGTCTGAATCAGGGGAGAAATCTGCACAGATCAAGCACCGTTTACAAGCCAAAACAGTCCAAAACAGCTGTAAACAAATATGTGGCTGGATTTTGACGAGAGAGGCATCCGGAGATGGACTTTTTCACTGGAGGAAGTGTTATTATGGATTATGGACTCATATTTTAGCAGGAAGTGACGGCTTGACGTTAAAAACGTCTTAATGATGGATTTGCTTCTTACAAACATGCAGCTTTTGGCTTCTACAGATGTTAACTGATGGACTGGAGTGGTGTGGATTATTGTGATGGGTTTATCAGCTGTTTGGACTCTCATTCTGACGGCACCCATTCACTGCAGAGCATCCATTGCTGAGACACTGATGCAATGCTACATTTCTCCAAATCTGACGAAGAAACAAACTCATCTACATCTTGGATGGCCTAAGAGGGTGAGTAAATCTTCAGCAAATTTTCATTTTTGGGTGAACTATTCCTTTAAATGTCACTTACAGACAAAACAGGAGTTTACTTTAAAACTATAATTTGAGGATGAAATGGCACATCCACAAACAAAATAAGTGTCATGCATGACTGTTATCTTGCCATCATAACCAACCATACCACAAAGTTTGCATAGGTTTAAACATTGCTTAAAGGCCAAACAAGTTTGTCACTTTCAAATGTTGTGCTCAGAAACTGAAATAACATTCACAAACAAGACCAGTCTCATAAAGTCAGGCTTATCTTGACCAACTTTATCAATTAACTGGAATGGAAAAAATTCTGGCTTCTTCAACAAAAAATTATTCTGTCCAACAAAGTTGTTGCAAGTTTGTTTTACCCAGTAAACTATAAATGTGCAGTTTAATTACAATATTTCACCGCATTGCTTGTTTTGGATTGACCTTTCTAGTTTGGTAGAAAGAAAGTTATCTAAAACTTGAATATTAGTCAATAAATTGGAAAAGAAAACTACTTGAAAATGGACCCTTAATTTTGGGGTGTGCGATATTGACAGAAATTATATCTCGATATTTTCTGGGATTTTATCGATAACGATAATTAGACGATATTTTGCTGAGTGTGTTATTGTGCTGGTACCTTAAGGACTGCCGAAGACAGCTGACTCCTAATGTCCTACCGCGGCACCACCCCCCACCGTCGTTTAGATTTTTTTATAGTAACAAATCATTTAGCCTAGTTC